GCCACCATTGGCACTCGGTTATTTTTCTACGGAGCGACCGCAGGAGACGGCTTGTCAGGCGCTCTGAAATACGCCGGACCCATCGCATGTGACGGTACACTCTTGCGACCCTGACTTGGTACTTGAACAAGAAACACACTCAAATCAAAGCAAGCGTCACCTAAAAAATAGTTCGGTTAGCTATAATCCACTATCAGAAAGATGTACTTTACCTTGTGCATTTGAAGTATGGTCTAGTAGTACTAACGAATACAAATCAAAGGAAAAATAAAAATACACCACGTACATACCAATATGTATACTACTCCTCCAGCTTGTCAGCAACCATCTCTAATATACCCTGAATTCCCTTCCCCACATTTTTCAGATCCTTCGCAACAGCCGGCCAGATAAGACCATGATGGGGCTCCGCCTGCACACACTTCACTCTCACCTCCTCTCTCTGCTCTTCCACCCCATGCTGTCTCTCAAATTTCAGCCACCACCCCCACAGATCGCCTAGGTCACCATCCACCCCAACAGCCCTCCCAAACCACTGCCGAGCCTTCTCCACCTTCCTCTCTGCCCAGAACAGCCGGGCAACCGTACAGATAACGACGGCGCTACCCCCGCCTTCTCCACCGCCAGTCTTCTTCAGGGCATCGGCCGAACGGGCTTTCCTCATCGGTCTGGGCTCGCTCCAAATGCTCTTGGACCAGAGAACTCCGCTTGTTGGACAGTCCTGTAGAGCGCGAGCCAGAACTTGACCGGCTCCGCCACCGGACCGCTCTTCCACCCCTATAGATTCCAGCCACAGCCACTCGTTTCCGGGATTGACTTGTCTGGCCTTCTCCAAGAGTGCACGGGCCTTTATACTTTTGCCGTCTTTTTCTTCCAGACGACTGGCAAGCATCCAGAGCGTAGGTTCTTTCGGACAGGATTTGAGCCCGGCAGCGTACGATGCACGCGCAGAGGCAATGTCATTCCGGTCTTCGTATATCTGGCCCTGTACCATATACAATTTCGCAAATTTGGGAAACTTTTTGAGAGCAGCGGACAGAGTCTTGAGCGCTTCGTCGATCTGTCCTTGCTGTCGCTCAAAGACGGCAGATTTCATCCAAATCTGAAAAATAATGTGAGCAAAGCGAATCAAGAAGAATCACTACACTGACTCTCTGGGTATCGGCAACATCTCTCGCACGGACCAGCAGCTGTCTCGCCACACCCGTCTCACCATTCTCGGCTTCGAGCTTGACAGCTGCAAGCCAAATCTGCTCGCTCTCTTGATTAGCAATGAACGCTCTCTCGAGGACACCTCTCGCCCCAGGAACATCTCCAGCCAGCCACTTCTCCTTGGCAGCCATCAACCATAGAACCTCTGCTTGCGGGCAAAACTCCACAGCACGACCTAGCAACTCATCCAGTCCCTCTCCAGTGCCATGGGTCTTTTCCAAGTCTGCGGCACGCTGCCATAACGCCCGTCTATCCGGATATACTTTCAGGGCATATGCCAGAATGGCTCGAGCAGTCCCGACCATTCCCCGTCCTTCAGCAGACTCGGCATCACCTATCCATGTATCCAAACGGTCCTCGTCTTCGAGCTCCATGCCAACAGTAGCCTTTACAATCGCCTGACATGTTCTCACTGAGCCCTCACTCTCGCACCGTTCAGCCTCTTTCAGCCATTGCTCTCGTGTAAGCAGCACCTGATGCCGCCGCAACTCGCGTACACCGGCCTCTATGGTCTTGTCCACAGTATCCATCTCCTTTTTCTTCTTCTCGGGATCATCGTTTTTACCTGCCTCTTGCTCCAACAAGCGTCCAGCAGCGATCCATATTTCGTGAGACGTCGGGACCGCTTTACGTGCTTTATTCAGAACCGCTTTTGCCTTGTCAGGCGTCTCGATGCGAGCCAGGGCGAGCCAAAGCTCCACCGAAAGCGGGATTACTTCGACAGCGCGGGAGAGTAAGGTACGCGCATCCGTGGCCGAAGTCTCCAGGTTGACAGTTTCCTTCCATAACCGAACGGAGTTGGGAATATGTTCAAGGGCTAGGCAAGGTACAGTGAGAAATGCTCATCAGCGTAACAAAATATTTACCTTTTCTTAGCACCCTCTTCTTCGCTTTAACATCTCCCTCTAAATCCGCCGCAGCGAGCCAAATCTTGACGCTCTGACCCACATGTTGCACGGCGTTAGCTAGTATCACCTTGGCATCGTCATTGCTCTGGAAAAACCGATTAGTTATGCCACCAAATATAAACGTTCGCTTACATGTAGCCTCGCTGCTTCCAACCACACATCTTCACTGGTCGGGCATCTTTCGCATCCCTCACGAATAAGTTTCCTCGCGGCGACCATTCGTCCAGCGTGTTCCTCTAAACAGGCTGCAGCGATCCAACCAGGAGCATGTTTTGGATTCGACTTTACCAGCGAATCAAAGAGCATGCGCGCGCGCTTGATGTCACCAATTTCTGCAGAGGATTTCAGTTGTACGCTGTCGAGAGAGGTAAGGTAGCCTTTAGGGTCGATGGAAGTGGTCGTTCCAGAGGCACCGAGGGAAGTGGCAGTACCGGATATCTGTAAGAACATATGAGACACGGTATTCTTCTGAGGAAAGAAATGGACATACCTGATCCAGCTTCAGTGACAATATCTTGTCCCTCGCCTGGCCGATTTCCACAAAGTTCGTTAAAGTACCCGTATTCGCAGGAGTTTCTTGTCCGTCTTGTACGACATTTCCTATACCGCCTCTCTCTCTATCTCCTACCAAGATACTATCAGGAACGACGTACGTCCTCCCCTCGGTCTTCCTTTTCTTGCGCGTCAAGTTGCCAACTTCTGGTATGCCCTCCCACTCGGCATCAGTCACTGACGTTAGTCCTCGTTTCAAATCAGCAAATTGCGCTTGAATTTTTGGACGCTCTGCGCGGTGTTTTGCCATTTCGAGCTGCTCCTGTGCTTCCCTGAAGGGCAAGTCAGGACGAGGTAGATACCAACGAGAGTAGATTTACATACCTCCGTGCTTTTCTCCTCGCATCCATAGCTTCGTCCACCTTTTCATAGATCCGATCCGCTTCCTCGTCGTCTGCCTCGTATGTCGTACCAGCAAAGAGACCATATTCGTTGTCCGGATCCTGGAATTGGTCGGGGTCTACCTCTGCCTCTTCGCCGCGCCGGGCTTGGGCTTCACTAGAAAGTAATGAGTATCACCTCGAAATGAAAACAACTCGGCGCACGCAATAACCTCAGCACTGGGTCCCTCCCGTGCTGGACCAATATCAGATCGCGTCGTAAACCCAGAAGCACTGAGAGATAATGAGTTATCATTCATTGTGAATTCAATTCTAAGCATACCCTCGCCCTAGACCAGCGACATAGGATGCTGGCGCAGGCATCGACAGGAAGGCCAGTTTGTTGGGTTTTCCAGCCATGTTGAAGCTTGACTTGCTCTGCGAATTTTGAAGAGGAGTTTTGGTGATTTCCTGTATCTGCCCGCTACCGTCGTTCTCGTCTCAAAGGGTGCTCACGGTCACTCTCGACGCGTTATAAGAAGGATGGCGGTGAAAGGTCAAGGATGATGAGAGCGTGATGTGACGGATGTCGTCAGTGTGATTATTCCCCAACTGAGAGTATTTCAAACTCCGCGAGCCCCGGGTTAAGGTTGCCTTTTGACTGTCATTACTTGCGACCCGGCGAGGAGGATCTGTTGGCAGCTGCTTTCGAAATTGCTCAAGAAAAATTATTAACTCTCTAACGCTGCAGCTTTGGCAATTTTTCCAATCTGACTCTTGCCCATGGTTTCTGTCGTACAGTACTTAACTATCCTCACTGCGTTAAGCGCGTGTGCTGACAATTAGCAAGGCTATAGCACTTTGTCTTTACCTATGTGATTTTCTCACCATAACGTCTTCACAATTCCCAGCACTGGTGCTATCACATTTCTAACGACTGTCGCCTCTTCCTGATCCCGATTGTCCACTCCATACATTGTTCTACCTGCCCCCTCTACTCTCACGATCCTCTCGTATTGGCCGATTCCTTTGTAACTATCAGAATATTTCATTGCTGCGCTTTTCCTACAATGGTCAAACACATGTAATTTTAGCTCGTCGGGACTCGGCTGATGCCTAACACCCACGCTGATGGACCAAGCGGCTTTTTAATAACACCGTATCAACCATCACTACGCTTTTTGTCTTGTACCACCACCATCGTCTCTTTCTTTCTTTGCCTCTGCGAGGCCCATTTCATTTTTTGAAGTCTTCGCCTTTCCATCATGCTGGCATTTTCACTCATTTTCGCCCTCCTCTTCGCTTTCCAAGGAGGTAGGTTGTTATCCCTGCTTTCGACGACCCTGTACTAATGCACCCATCTAGTCCTCGCGCACCAATTCTACGACCTGGCGTCTCCACATATCCACCTAGCCGCTCGTCAAGCGACCAAGAATCTCACCGACCTCCCAGAATCCTCGATCCCATCGGCATGTTCCGCGAATTGCACTCAAGACGTACTTAAGTATATCAGCGTAAGCCGCTTTTCTCGGTCTCAATTCCAATATATCCCTCCTTAACAGCCTCGTCCAGAATTGTTCCATGAGTGCATGCATGTGCAACGATCAGACGGATCAATCGATCACATCCTGCGTGAACTGCGTGGTCGCCCAAGGAGATATCTCTAGCAACGTCGGCAAAGCTGTCATCGCTCGTGAGTACTTGTGTCGCCGAACAATCCATCATTGACTCACCACCCTGTTTGTTTTCGCCTCAGAATACGGTTCCACTTGTTCTAAGTTTGGTGTTACCCTCGCCAGCGGCAATGATGCTTCTCATGTTCAGGTTGGATTAGTTGGTGCTGTTTTAGCTGCCATGGTATTGTCCATGGCTTTCTAAAGCGAGGGACCTCCGGAAGAAAGCGATTGGTCATTACCTATTCTACTTATTTACATTCACTGGTGCTGTTGCCCTTAGGAATACAAAGAAGACAACGAGAACTGAATGAAAACATGAGAAAGTTTTGTACGCCCCCTTTGTCTAATGGTTATGACGTCAGACTTCTACTGTGAATTGATTTTCTAGTGGGAATAATCTGGAGGTTGCGAGTTCGAGTCTCGCAGGGGGTTATCCTTTTTCACGCATTTTCCTCAGTGTTCACCTTTCGCGCAAGATCTTCAAAAGAATCAGAAAGGAACATCGGAGGGCACTGGAACGCGAGCGAAGTGCTTACATATGACGTCGATTAAGTCCTGGTCAAGCCTGATTACTTGGACTGCTTTCACGGATTGTTATCTCGATGACTAGCCGAGTGTTGTATGTTCCCAATTGTTGCTTGAGATGAACACAAGACATGTGAGGGCTCTTGTCTTCAGATAACTCTTCAGTTCCAGACCCGTTCACCTGGGGTCGCCGCCAGTGTATCACAACTTCGTAAGGCAGCGGCAGTGAAGGTTCCAGACGAGGCAGGATACAAACAAGAGACGACTTTGAATATCCCACACGGCTGCAAACCATATCTAATAATTCTCCATAGGAGGACTTTGATATAACCAAAAACTCAATGAATCGCTTTACTTTCGGATAGATGAACGACCCCAATCTGCAGTTGGGCTCCGGTTATCCTTCACTCGCCCCCGCATTCTCGACCCCTCGTCCAGATTGTCCAGAACATTTTCCCCGCTCCCCATGAGTCTTCCTGGAATATAAATCCTGCTGAATCCCCACCGGGCCATTCACGTCCTACCTCCGTATCGAAATGGCACCAGCACCTCTCTTTCTCACTCGTCTGGGGGCGTACACCATGGCGTTTGCATGGGGCGCCATCAGCCTTTCCATCGGTCTCAATACGGTAGTGAAGCAGAATCGGCTCAAGTCGTTCCTTCGGAGATCTGTCGCACTTCTTGGAATCACTCTGAAACTCGTCACGAACAGTACGTTCAATATCCCGTTATCAGCCACACAATCTAATGTGAGAGCGGTAGATGTCGTCCATCCTGCCATAGCTTCGGAAGTTTTTTGTGTCATAACGGCCTTGTTCTCACTCGCTGCCGTCATCAGTTTGTTCGCGGGCTGGTGTGCCGCGAGCAGAAAGTCTATATCCATCCAGGCATACGTCTTCACATTCCTTACCGTCGCACTATTCGCTTGCCAGATTCCCGTTTCTGACGCAGTGCGCAGAAAAGGCGTGGAAATATGGGGATGGAAAGATGGTGTCGAGGTCCCCACAGCGACGCTCCTCGAAGCTGCAGCATCGCTTGGTGTCAACCCTCTTTACAGGCACATTCATTTCAGTAAGTCTTCTATGCCGACGTCATTGTATCGTTGGACTTACGTTTTCACCAGTTCTCTGGTTCGGGATTATCCCTTGGTTCGCGTTCCTATTCACACTCATTTCGGCGATCGTGTCTTTCTTGGCGTTGAGCGGACTAAAAGAGAATACTCAGCCTCTTGCTAAGGCTAGGGATGTGCCGATGTCCCAAGTCGCTTGATTCTCGCATTGTACTCGAATTCTCCTTCCTTCCTTCTACCCCCACCCCATTGATGTTCAAAATGATCCCCAATTTGATGTCCTTTACGCCTTCTACTCTGAATAGATTGCTACTTGATTTTTACACATTACTTTTAATTTGTAGACTTGTCTGGATGAATACCACGTCGTTGTTTGAGACCGTCAAACGATGGATGCTATTCATGCAAAGCCGAAAAACAGCGGTACGACCCAGGTAGGAACCCACAAAGGAACTGAGAATACACGCTGACAAAGGCCTGGGACTTCCAGCGGCTAGCGCTCCTCGATCGTTGAGGCATTACCTGCGGCACAGAGTACCCTCTTTCCACGCGTGAACGCCCCGCGAGTCATTGTAGCCGAAAGAAGATCCGCCCTTCTCGGAAGACATCGACGACCCTGCCTGAGAACACTATGTATGTCTACATCATCTTGACCCATTGTCCAACCCTTGTCTTACGGCAGAATCTGAGGGAGTGTCCGTGACGTATGACGCATCCAGACACGATACTGGATCCAGCGCTTTCATTTCTCTGCGTGCTTGGAGGCAACATATCGGGAGCAAGTCGAATATTGTACATTCAGACCGAGTAACGGCCAATGTGATGATATAACCAGGGTCGCACTTCCGAGAAACGCTACCGGGGGTTTCAGAGTTTCAGGAATTGGAAGATCGACAAGAGACTGTCTTCCAGGAACGAGACGATGACCCCAGCACTTCAGAAGAATTCTGGGAAACGAGCAAGCGTGAGGAAATCCAGCTTCCTTGGGTCGCCCGCGTCAAGGAAGTAGTAATTCCGCATGGTAAGGGTAGAAAGCATAGGCTGTTTCCCAAAGGAAATCGCCAGAACGCAAATAGATCGGCCAGCAGTTGTAAATCAAGGAATGAGGTGCGGGAGAAACCAATAAATTGCACCTCTCCAAATCCAGAGAGAGACGAGTTGCAACAGCATATATCACAAAAGAGATGTACAGCGAGACCAACATTAACAGCTCGCTAGCATCGGAGACAGATTCGGTTACCCCAGACGCGGATCACTTGAGGTAGCATGGCACGGAAGCTCGTCGACCATCATACGTTCCATGACGCCTAAATCTGCGAAGAGATCAGCGCTCGGGCGCAGTTTGTGCGTTACAGCGAAATGATGTTCTCGACATACATCGGAGATATCCGAAAGATGGGGGATAGCTCCGTCAGTAATCAAAAGCTATTCACACAGATTACTGGCAAAAAATCACCATCCAACATCGTCCTCGGAGAACACTGGAAATATACAGCCAAGCTTGCGACTGATGTTCGTCGTAAAGGAGGAATCCGATGGTTCCGAAATAGAAAATCGACGATACTAAAGAAAGCCTGCTGGAAGCGCTCCAATGGGTGCAGTAAAAGCTTCTCTGTGCGGCTACTCTTCGATTCTAGTCCGAGTTTTATCATTCATATCGGACGAGCTCTCTTCCCAGTCAGCAGATGGTCGCTCTGAGTCTTGACGCCACTTGACGGTTGCGCTGTGAAAAACGTCACTCCTGTGGCAATAACGGATCCTGCGTGTGACACTTCCAGCACCTACATAGTTACTATGCTCCGGTATGCCAAAGTGGTTGAACAAGTTGAAGGAGAGGTTCGATTTCCGTCCCGGGTTTCGGTGCGGGCTGGTCGAACTTCAGTAAAGGTCGGGCCGGTACGCATCAGTTTCCTCCGAAATTCGACGACCATCGCCGCTCGCGTCAAGATTAAACTTTGCCCATTGCGAGGTACCGAAACCTCTAATTCACTACCAAGCGCAAATTATACAGATATATCAGGAGACACATTACTTGCAGTCTTTCCTTTCTCTAACCAGAGTTTTCGCCCCGCACTACGCTTCGCATCGCGTCACGCGAGCCACATTCCAGCATCCTTGAGAGGAGTTGGTACCACTGCAACGTTGACAAGAAACGACGTAAATTTTCAGCAGGCTGCCACAATGTGTTACGTGAAGGAGCACCGAAACGTTCCCGTCTCAAAAAATATCTTCTATAATCACGACAGGGACAGTAAGGTCGGCGGGGCGTGGATGCTCATGAAATACGTTCGTATATCATCTTCCTCACAAGTGATAAACAGATTCAACATTTTTTCCAGATCCGCGGTATCAGTCCGATATATCTATGGAGATCTCTTACAGATGATCAATGAGAGAAACTGTGCGCATCTGTAGCAGATATCTGGCCCCAGCTCCTCAAACTACGCTTCAGATCCATTGGAATCTATGAACACAAGATTCAATCTGAACGGCGATACTTCATATGTCTGATGACCTACATCTCACAAGCAGGGAGTATTGACTCTCCTGAAGCCTCGACGTCTGGCCCGTTTTTGTCTTCCATAGATTAGTTCGTAACCATCGTCAAGGCGGGGCTCTCGCCGATCCACAAGACTCTACCAGACTTTGAATCTGAGCAAGCACGTAAGTGGCGAGATGCTACCATCGATGTAGTCCGGGGGTCGCCTCTGCTTGACTGTCAATCCCTTGATTACGAGCAGATCGTCTTGCCTTATATCGACTACTCGATGCATAGCATTATGGTAGATCTTGACGATCCAACTCAAGTCATTGCGGCGATAGATTGGGAGGGAGAATGCGCTGTTCCCATGTAGGCCGCTCATCCAGTTTCCCGGTGGTCGTACTTACTACCAGACGCCAAAGTCCTCCACCTTCAGCAGCTGATGCGAAAACGTTTACTAGGTCAGATACTGGGATGGAGTTTGGTAATTGGGGAAAGAAGTGATGCGCTTCGCTGTTTAAAAGAGGCCGCAGAGTGCAGTGGACGGAATCCGTCTATCTATGACATGGAACGACGCTCGTGGACTTGTTTTTGTGAGGAAGTTATCTCATTATCATTACACGACACGGTACCTTCAGAATGGCAATTGATTGTCTCTGACGGACATGAGTAACGAAGCAGTGAAGGAGCGTGCATACCTTTTTTCACTCAAATTACTTACCTGCTTACTTCACGTTACCATCCAACTGAACCGTTTCCGACTCTCTACATAAAGGTAACCCCTTGCCCGCATTTGTCATCTGCCAGCTGCCCCGCCTATCTCCCCAAAGGATGGACATGCAAGGGCTAGAGACCATTCGTCTCGTTCTACATCACAAAATCGAAGACGCTCCAGCTGAGTTAACCCTAAGCACCTTCATTGGTAGTTTTGCCTTTGTCCAGACCAGGCTACTTCTTACTACTCCGCGTCCAGGTGTGAACGACCCGGTCGTCTCTCTCAGTGACGTTATAGCGTGTGCGAAGTGGAAGCTGTAGATACAAAGGGCAAGAGCCTTTGAGACGACTGGTGTCTAATAGAAACCTGATCACCTAGTGGACAGACCGCCATTACTCAGGAACAGTGCCAATGCGCGACATACTCAACAAAATGGCTTTCTGCTTACACCGGAGAGAACCTGACCTTTAAGTCATCGCATTCGCGTTGAGGTACATTGGTATAAGATGTCCATAATAGAGAAATAAAGAAAAGCGTCCGTCGAAAGCACTAATGTATATGCAAATCGATTTTTCGCAGCTGACTAAGATGACCGGTCTTTCGGCACGATGGGCATCCCTGACTCTTCTCAAACGTCTGGC